TCCTTCCTTTCCTCCTTCCTCCCTTCCTTCTTCCCTCCCTCCCTCCTTCCTCCCTTTCTTCCTTTCCTCCCTCCTTCCTTCCCTCCCTCTTTCCTTCCTTTCCTCCTTCCTCCCTCCCTTCTTTCTTTTCTTCCTTCTTCCCTCCCTCCCTCCTTCCTCTCTTCCTCCTTTCCTTCCTGGTGTGTCTCTAGGACCCCAGGCTCTATGCTCTGGTGCTTCTCCAGGCTGTCCCCTTCTCATCTCAAGCCAGCCATGACCCCAGCAGCTTGCTGGGCCAGCTTGTAACACACTGGCACCATGCTGAGCAGTGACCCTGCTCCCTCTGGGAGAATGGGGGGAGGGGCCCCGGGAGCCTTCCAGCTCCAGCTGTTCACCCTGGTCCCCTTGAGGATCTCAAAGAATCCCATTGTATGGGTGGGGGAGTCAAAGGGACCCGCAGCCCTGGGTAACCCCTGGAGCCCCCGGGGTCGGGAGGCAAGTCCTGAACTTTCTCCCAGACCCAAAGGTTTTCCCCTCCTCTCCTTGTGCTCCCTGGGCCAAGGGCAGAACCCAGGAATCTGAGCTGCAGCAGGATGGACAGCAAGTGAAAAGAGGAGCTAGCCCAGGTTCTGCTAGAGACGGGCCTAAGGCAAGGCAGGCAGCCGCCCCCAGGGCACCCAGGAGTCCCGGGCCTCCTCCCTGCCAGTGCCTACATTGCTTTTCCTCTGTTATGTCAATATTGGATGGAGGCTAAGATCAGCTTCTCCAGGGCGCGCCCATCTTGTGGCCTGGAGGGAGAGAGATAGAGCCATACCCAGAGGAGATGGTCCCCTCCTTGGACCTTCAGTGGAAAATGGAACCTAGAGCAAGGCAAAGAAGTATCTGGAGGCCTCGCAGGGCCACAGGACCCCGGAATGGCCTCGAGCAGGATCTGAGCCAACCCTTCCTGAGGCCTCCCATGATACTCTGCTGCTCCGTCTTTGTTTACTGCTGCCCTTGCCACACCCCGTGTGCCCATTTTACAGGAGAGCAGATGGAGGCTGGGAGAGACTTGAGTAATTTTCCAAGTTCACACAGACAGGACAGGTCACAGCCAAAAATCAGATATGAACCTACTGACGCCCAGGCCCAGGAGGGTGGCAGGGGGAGGCTGGCCTAGAGTTGTCCAGGTTCATCGAGGGTAGAGGAAGGAGAGGGAGCCTGCGGGAGGACGGGTAGGCAGGGCCCCATTTTCAGTTCTCGTCCAGCCCATCTTGGTGACTAAGATCTGAGTACATCAGAGCCCAGCAGCCTGAATAATCCAGGTGTCAGCTTTGTTTGTTTCTGGGGTGTCCTGAGGCAGATGCCAGCTAGGGTAAATAGAGGAAGATGGGTGTGCTGGGAGGGGACTGCTCACTGCAAGAAGCCGACCCTGGGGGAGGAGGGGGAAAGACCGGACTGCTCAGGGGAGCTCTCTGCCGATCACTGGCCAAGGCGAAACCTGTGTCTCGGCTGAAGCGTTCAGTTTTCACTGAGCATTTACTGAGCGCCAGCTGTATGTACAGCCAGCACTGCTGGGAGCTGGGGAGGATTTGAAAGGCTGGTTTTCTGGGTTCTCAGTACAATGCACGTACCGGTGATACCTGCCCCAGTTATAGAAAGGGAGTCTCAAGCTGGTTGGCAAAGAGTCAAGATCATCTCTAGGAACCTAGTGATTGGCAGCGTGGGGAAAGAGCAGCCGCGGGCCAAGAGGCTGACGCGCACTGTCGTCTCTTCTGGCCGAGCCTTTGTCAGGTTCACGGCCTGTGAGTGCACGGTGGTGGGCTCCCCCTTCCCAGCCTCTGCCAACCCCTGACGTGTGGGGCTGGCGTAGCCAGAGTCAGCTGGGCGGCCCCCAGGCAAGGGTGGGGATCCTAGGGGTCAGTCACCCTCAAGGTCAGCTGGGTCTGGGTCCCAAGAAAGCGGGGAGTTGGTCGCATCTGCCCCCATTTTACAGATGGGCAGACTGAGGCCCCCAAAAGGATGCTTCATGGTAAGGATCAGAGCGTTTGGAGCAAAGTCAGGCCCCATGGAGGTGGATGGATCCCAGACCCCGAGGGGGGAGGCCAGGTACCAGGCAGCCAGAACTTGTGACGTTGCCCGGCTGTGGGCCGGTGGTGAGCCGGCCTTCGCCTCTCCGGAAACACTCAATTAGGGGCCAGGGTGCCCTAGCAGCAGGGAACCAACCTGTTCTGTTTCCTGCCTGGGGCGCTGGCCTCCCCAGTGACAGGCACACTCGGGAGCTGCACACCCACGCCCACCCGTCCGAAGGGCAGCACCCAGCATGCTAATGGGGGCAGGGAGGGACGACTGGTCCGTCAGGGCTGGGGGGGGGGATGAGGCAAACTGGTTCCCACCCTGGCGGGGGGCCGTTGCTGCCCTGTCTGCTTTCACCCCAGTCCCTCAGTTGTGTGAGAAGAAGCTGAGAAAGCCAGCCAGAGAGGCCCGGCCCCCAAGTCAGCTGCTTTTCCAAATGGGAGAGCAGACAGATGGACCAAAAGAAGCAGTACGGCACCCCCATCTCTCCTTGGGCCTCCGAGCAAGATCACCCCTGAGCCCTGGCCTCAAGGAGTGGGTAAACAGAGTTTGGCCACCGGCCTAGCC